AAACAAGGAAGGGAAAAAAACCCCTTCATAGTGAGTAATAAATTGTCATTTAGCATGATAGGTTAATTCTTTCTTAAACAATTCATAAATATCTGACAAAAATTAGCACTTTCTAGTAATATGAAAGGCATAAATATTTCACATTTATCCATTGTGCTGGATGCTGTACAGACCTAGGAAGAGATGGTCCCTGTATCAAAGAGCTATCTCAGTGTCATGTTAGCAGTGTCTGGTCATTGGCTTTTCTTAGAGTACGTCTACACTGTAGCTGGGAGTGAGCTTCCCAGCCTGGGTAGACAGACTCATACTAATAGGGCTTGTGCAAGCTAAAAATAGCAGTGTGGTCGTTGCTGGGTCTGAGCTCGGGTGGCTAGCCCGAGCCTCTGCTGGTGCAGCAACATTCACACTATTTTTAGCATGCTAGCTCAAGCTCCCCTGGTGCAAGTCTGTCTACCCAGGCTTCATCCTTGCTGCAGTGTAGACATACCAGTAGAGGGCAGAACACTGGGGAGGATGGAAGGACCGTCTGTCAGTAGAATCCTCAGGTGTCTTTTGCAGGCGTTATCTGATGCAGAAAAAACTGATCTGGCACAAATAGCCAAGACAAGACATTTCCTTCTTATTTTTTTTATATTTCAGTAGCACATAACCCCAGTCAAGGCTCAGGGTCCCATCACAACAACAAAAGAAAGACACTGACTGCCCAGACAGCTTACAGTCTAGGTATCAGATAAAACATGATAGGTGTATGAAACAGAAGTAGGGCAGGGATGCTCCACCTTTCATACCCCCTGTGACCGGGGTCCTAGTGTGGGCCAGCTACGGTCACTCAATTAGGGTGAACTGCAAAGAATGGGGCAGCCAAATCCCCAAAAGCTGGTGGTTATTCCAATACTTAGATTTACCAAGTCAGAATAAAACAGCTTCTTTATTACCTTACTGGTTACTCGGAAGTCCAAACAACAGTTCCCTTAAAGTGATCCTGCCTCAAGCCTCCATCCAGGTACCCGTGTCAAATACGATGAAAATTTCTGGAAATCTTATTTCACTATATAAAAGAAAAGGCTCTACCAATCCCAAAGGATCGGACACATTACCTCCCAGGTTAATGAATGTTTCAGATCTTACTGTTCTGTGAACTCCTAGCAGGCCTGACACACTTACTACACCTAACACACTACTGTCATCATATTGATCTGTAAACCTGTCATGTGTCGTATCAAATAAAAGCTGGTGACATACAGTCAATATCATCATCATGTGATGTATGGATGGAGTGTACGGATGCTCACTGGAGGACATCACCATCTGAACGCCAGTAGGTCAACCTGACTCTTGAGATGAAGACTTTTGGGGAATATAAAGAGAAGAAAAAGGGCATCTCGTTCCCCATCACTTAGGGAACAAAAAGGTCAGCGTTCTTTGCATCTATGAATGATGGCTCCCCAGCTATGAGGGTTGGTGAGGCTGAAAAAGGGACTGTAGAGGTGAGAAAACTGCTTCAACAAAGCTTGGAGCCTGCTAAGGCTACATGTAAGTTCTTAGAAGCATGTTATTCTTTTGTTTGATTTGTTACCAGTTTCTATGATCTCTGCTTAGTATCACTTAAATCTCTGTCTTTATTAATAAACTTCTCTTTGGTTTATTATAAATTCCACTCAGTGCTGTTATACTAAAGCAAGGTGGGCATCCTTTGCTGAGCCAGCAGACTGGTTTCTCTTCTGTCTCTTTGAGACAGCGGACTCTGTATTCTGTGGGCATCCAGTGACAGGGGCTGGATGCTGCAGAGGAATGGTTTTTCAAGAGGTTTTGGGAAGTAGGTGCACCAAGAGTTCCCTGCAAGGCAAGGAAAGGCCTGGCAGAGTCCTGAGGAGTTTATTGGAAGCCGACACCCAGTCTAGCTGCAGCAAATCTCTCGCTCGCTTAGGCAGAAGGGTAACAAGGTGACCTACCATTCTGGACAACCCAAGAACACTACATAGAAAGAAGTTACCAAGTGGAAGATAAATAATGAAGTTATAAGGAGAGTCACTTCTCAGCTGCTGGCAGGTAGGGTCAGGATTGAACCTAAAGGACACTCATAATGTGATGTCAGATTCAAGGAAAGAAGTCAAAGTAAAGATCTGGTAGTTGAATTCCAACAGCTTAAAAATCTTTCATGTAGTGAACCTCCCGTCTGTTTCATTTTACTGGGAATTGTGCTGTTGTGTGATCAAACTGCACAAGCGCCCCCCACAAAGAATGATATGAAAGCCATCACTTCACTGGGTTATGTAGCTGTGCCTACAAAAACCTTAACAAATCTGAAAACTGCCCTTAACAATGGGTCTATTTACCCCCAAATAAATCACAGATCCCTTCAGAGCACTGGTAAGTTTTTTGTTGTTGTTGCTGCTGTTTTTGTTCTGTTTCAAACACAAAAGCAGCAATGGAAGATATTCCTAATTATCTGACCTGAGAATAATTATTTTGAAGTGTGAAAAAATGCGCTAGGCCCTTGTCACAACAACATGTGAAAAAGGATGCCTTATGTTGGGTTGGTAAAACAAACATTGCAATTTGTTTGAACACAGAGAATGTACCATAAGGATTGATTCTTTACATTAACTTGGAGATATGGTTTAAAAGTGCCAGGATTTGCTGTTTCTGTAACAGCCTAAAAACCATTAATCTTTGTAGCCAGAAGTCTGAGTACAGTTTCTAGTAGCTATTTATGTAAGGTTATTCTTTGCTAAAAAGAAATTCTGTCTACTTTGGTTTTGCTCTCCTCACACTAGAGCAGGTTTCCTGAATTGCGCAAGACTGGGTTTTTATTAGTCAGTTTGATGGTGGTGTAGAGTTACATTTCCTGCTTCATCACCCAGTGATTTCTATATTTTTAAGCAAATGGAGGAAAACTGTACCTAATATGAAAGTCACATCACACTGCATGAAAGAGGTCACTGTAATGACAATGGACTTTTCAGGAACACATTTACCAGTGCACTTGAACTGCACTTCCTTTAAGTGTCAACTCAATGGCACAGGGTATACAGCAGTTGTTCTGGGGAACCAGAGGAGTGATGCTTCAGATGACTCAATGCCCTACTGCTAGACAACTCAAGAGCAGTCAGTCAGGGGAGAGCAACTCCGTAAGATATCAGAATCAAGAACGCCTCAGAATAAAGAAGAATTTTGCTAGTTAGTATCAGGTTTGTACAGGATAAGCTAGAAGGGAGTGTATCTGTGCTCTACAATTGACTGGGCTGGGAAATGTATTAAAAGAGTGGGAATATAATGCCCTGGACACCCAGTGCTCATCCAGGAGCTTAGTTTGTAAAGATCTATGGCAGTATCCATTGCTGCTGCTCCTGACACTAGATAAGTAGAAACTATATATTCATTTCAATGTCCCTTACTAAACTACAAGATGTCAGGCTTTCCCTTAAGTAATATGCAAAGCCCCATCTGTTCCAGGATTCTGTGACTAGCACAATTTGCCACAAATTTCACTGCCAGCCACAGTCCTGTGTTTCAGAATCTAAGGTTTTAGTTAAAAAAAAAGTTTCAGCCGTCATGGTCGTGAAGAAAATATTGAAAAATGAATAAAGTGTAACTGAGGCAGATGCTGTTTTCCTGAGCCTGCAAACAGCTGGAAGCAATAGCTCCAAGAGGTGTGAATTTCCTGATTCCTCAAAATGGGTTAATGCAATGACGACAATTTATGTATTAACACTTAGCTATATCTCTGCTGATCAGTCTTCATTTTAGCAAGAACATCCACCTAATATGCTTATTAAACAATTCCAAACTGCCTCTCCAAATGCCAAAACTCCAACATGTCCCTTCCCAGTTGCCAAAAAATACAGCTTGCCCTCAGTGTCTTACATGATGCAAATCTGAATTGTCAGGATATAAGTCTACATGATACTGAAATAAGAAAGGGGGGTGAGGAGCGTGTAAAACTAAACTGAATTTAATATCAGGATAAATAGGAGCTACTGATCCTACTGTATTATTCACCTTCACATTTAACTACTTTAAAAGCACTTTCTAAAATTTATCTGGAGCTGCTACATAATTCTGAGTCTGCCACACCAGAATGCTGCAGAATCCAGAAGACCTGCCACAAAATTCTGGTTCAGCTTCCTGGAGTGTGCTCATGCCTTGGCTATGTAGAGTAAAAGGTGGCTCTTTTTAACAGCATTTTGTGGATTTCTTACTAAGCATTCCTAGAAAATGTATTTTCTACAATTATGCCGTATGTAAATATTTTGAATAGTTCTGTCACCAGTTCTAAAAAAATCAGAAGAATTATTGTTTTTTAAAATTAAATAGACTAAAATATGCAGTTCTCCAGTTGCTTGTTGTATCTGATGACCCTGATGTGAATAATTTTAAGAATCAAGAGGCACCTGAGTCCCTAATTGACTCTTCTACCTTAATGTCCCACCTGCTGGCTCTGCTTCTGGAAATGAGAAATTTCATTTAGGTCTGCAACTACTGACGTATCAACTTGTAAAAAACCAACATTGGACTTCACTTCAGGAAGAGAGATTATAAAATAAAAAAAATAAAAAAAGAGACTTCCCATATCTGTAAATGGAAAAACCTGTTGCACAATAGCTTTGAACTCCTTGAACGTGCATTCCTTTCTGTGCAAACATACATACTAGAGTGAAGGCTTCATTATATAGCTAACAAATCTGACTGCTCTAGCATAAGGTTCTCTAATTGTCTGCAGTGCTTTGATTTAAGTTAAGCACAGCCATGGAGCATCTCAGTGATCAGGGAATCTATGATGGAGCCATCCACTCTCAGTGGCAATCACAGTTGAGTTTGTCTGTTTCTCCCATTATTTGGGATTATCCCTTTAATTTCCTTGCAAATTAAGACCACTGAAATAAAACAACATTAATCTTCTGATAGCAATGCATAGTATAGGAATGCTATACATAATATAGGAGTTCAAGCAGAAATTAGGGTAAACAAAAGTTAAAGGAAAAAACCACAGGTGGAAATTAAATTGCAAAGAACTCATTTCTCTTTATTGTAGTTCAGTAAGACACACTTGAGCTCTGCATCCCAGGGAATAGTTTCTTGTTTTTTTTCCTGATTTTTATCATCTTTTTGACAAAAACAGTCATTAAAAGAATCTATTCCCAATTTGGAATCCAGGTGCCATTTCTAGTGGTTTAAATTCCGTGGTTCCTTCTACTGAAGGATGCAAATTTTTTTGTTCCTGATGATCTTCTCACAGCTTCCTCCAGCCTTAATTTTTTTGACTGCTTCCACGATCTAAAATCAAACCAAGACAGTAATACATCAGAACCCAAACTGCTATAGTTTTAGTGTTGGGGTGGGCAGCCCCCACATTGTCAGGCAGGAAGGGGTTAATGAACTGCCTTGAGTCCCAGAAATTAAGACTAGCCCCGGCTCGATTTACTGAAGTTCCTTTGGAATTAAGATATCTGTGAATATTCTAAAACACTACTCTCCATTTGGATTCCAGGGACTTTCCCCACCGTTACTATTTAATCCACCTGCCTATGCACTTAGCTGTCCTAATCTTGGCCTCCTCTCCCCTCACTGTGATGAAATCCTCTTGAAGGCGTTTCTGGTTCAGTGTAACAGCACACAGCTTTGACAGCTTAATGCATCGAGTGCCAAACAGCAGCACCATTTTTTAAATCTCACCTTATAAAACATCCTTTTCTCTTCAGCCTGGGACTAAGGTGTATACGGCATTTTGTGATGTATGCATAATAAAAATAATTACTTATCGTGATTGGCCAGGAGACAATGGGAGCTAGCTGCTAAGCGGAATGCTACTAGTAAAGGTGGGGATGGCAGTGAGAAGAGCACATGGTGTCGCTGACACTGGGAAGGAGGCTGTGCACTATAGTGGGAGGTGAATAAGTAGCCACCAAATGCTGCCAGGAGGAAGGAGAGTACTCTGCTGCAAGGGACGGGAAAGCAGCCTGCAACATCTGGTTTGAGGAGATTGGCTGCTCAGCTGCAACAGGGGTGTGGAACAGGAAAAGGCTTGCGTCTGCATGGTAACCCAGTGCGTGTCAAAAGCACTGGAATTTACCAATGGTAACCCTCCTAAAAAGGGTGGGCTGCCATTGGCTAAGGGCTGCTGACACCCATGCATGAAGGAATATGACTAACCTTTCTAGCTTCCACCCACAATCTGGGCCCTTTATCTGCGACCATATTTTTTTTTGGCACTGGGTCAGTCAAGCTGCTGCCTTTCTGTGGGGTGATGCACAGGCACATTTGCTATCTGAGACTGTAGTACGCAGTCGAACACCAACAATCAGAACTTACATCTTCTGAAAAAGGAAAGCCAGAGGTTTCGATCTTAGAAAATATCAGCTTGCCATTTATCTTCACTTCAAAGCTTCCTGCAAGAGAGAGATTTTCAGGAGCTATTCTAACAACATTTGTTGGGCCCATTTCTAATTAATAATGGTCTACCTCAGTTGAAACCCCACCTCCCTGCCCAAAGTTTTTGGGAAAATCAGCTTTTGCATGTGAATCTGGGTTGGACCCCGTCTTTTATACTGCTAACACATTTTCCATGTGACCATCAGCATATCTTACATGTTAACTCACTAATGAAGATGCAGCATTCTGTCATAAACAGCAAAAGGCAAGATCAGGACTTCCCTATGATTAATATACAGTTTAACTGAAACTCCAATTGACGATAGTGCTTATACATTTTCTACAAGACTTAGTAGCACTTGGTACTATTAATAAAACCTGTGTATTATTGCAATATCTTACCTTTCCTTCCCACTTCACCTGAAATCTCCGCATCAGGAACCTGCTCCTTGATTTTCTTGGCAAGCTCCTGATAACGGGCTGTGTACCCTCATCCTCCACTATAAAACCAAAGAGCCAAAAAAGGTTTAGCATCTATAAATCACTAATTAGCTTTAGGTTGGCAATTATGGATTAAGGATACATAGTTTTACTGGAATTTCTAGTGTAAATGTACAAACTGAAATCCTGGCCCTGAAGCCAGTGGCAAAATTTGCATCAACTTCAATGGGGCCAGAATTTTACCCAAGTCTTTTCTTACAGTGAGATCATCATCTATGGTCAGTCACACACAAGGATCAGCAATGTTGCTGTGCTACTAAACAGCAACACTACTAAACTGATTTGGGAATTTCTAGTGCTGTATTTCTCCAGGGAGACACTTCTGTTATCACAGACTGGTGATTATAAACCTATAAGTTTATCAGTAACCTGCAGGTTAAGGTTCCTTTATTGTTGCAAGCTGATATGTATTAACTTGCCCATTAATACAGCCTCTCTCAGATATTTCTTAAAACTACAGTACGTATAAATTACCCTCCGGTAGGATTAAGTTTTATTTTTAAAGAGTGTGGATGTAAATTATTTTCTTCACTATGGAAAAAGGTGTGGTTTTAAAATAAGCTAATTAACATGTGTTTAAAAACCCTACTGTGTTATGGCAATTTGTATTTTAAACACATTCACCAAGTTTCTTGGAAACAAAGACTGCTTCATAAAAGGAGGAAATCTTAGATATGTTTCCAAACTGGTCTTCTGGAATTTGCATTATGAGCCTTCTTTTGTGGTGACCAGTTTAAGAAGTTTTCTGATTGCCTACTCCAATTCAAGAGTCATTGCTGGCTTAAGTTTTCTAAATTTTTGTGATTCTAGTCTAACAGAGGCAGAGATCTGAATATAGCAATGATGTTGCTCCTACTGCAACTTCTTGGGCAGGATATCAGGAGAGCCCAAAACTACATTGCTTATGGTTACTTTGTAATTGCCACACAAAATGCAGTGTAGGGCAGTCTATTTCTGAGGTTCTCAAGAACCTCTCCCGGACAAGACATGCAGAAGAGTTACACAGGCAGGAATAAGATGAGACAGACAGAACAAGGACAATACACAAAATGGGCAGAGGGAAGAGAAATGGAAAAGGGAAGGTGTTATTTTTAAACCATGTAGGATACACCTTAAATATAATTAGCATTAGCAGATCTGTTAACAAGTGATGTACCTACCAACTCTGATTCATCTTCAGAACACTTCTGCTGAGATACTATACTATAACTATACTATAGTACTATAACTTCCACATTACAAATAGGGAAACTGAGGGAAAGTAGTGAAGTGATTTGGCAGTAAGGGGCAGAGTGGGATTTTAACTCAGGATTTCCTGACTCCCATTCCTGTGTTTATTCCTCCAGCCCACGCTGACACCACGTAAATTTACATCAACTAAGCATGCAACATTATAGTGCAATTCTGGAGATATGCACGAAGTGACATGTTTTATTCAGCTTCTGCATTCCACAAAAAAATTATAGCCCTTTTATATAAAGTCAAATACACTGTTATTCATACTATATTCGGACAATGACTCATAGCAGCTGTAAAAACAAGGCATAGGGAGGAAGCAGAAATTAAGAGTTATACTGAAAGTTACTGTAGATTAAAAACTTTAAAATATGATTTTGTTCCTTGTACAAACTAGCAGAAGTCTATTTTACATTCTTCTCAATGAACTCCTGCAAATTATATATTTTTTAAAAAATATAGTTAATATATATATATTGATAGATCAAAATTCTCATTGGCTGGTACTAATCTGAGATACTAAAATGTATTATAACCAGCATATAAATTAATGTTATATGTTTAACCTTATTTTGTGAAATTCAAACTAAGGCCCAGATCTGATCAATAGGCAGATCTGGGGAGACTGCAAAGCATGGGTGCAGCAAGTCCACCTCTATGCCGAAACTGACTTAATTTTCCACACAAAACACTCATAAAAAGGAACAAATATTAACTATAAAAAGAGAAATAGTTGCGTAATATCCAGAAGCCTCTCCAGAAGTGTCATTAGTACAATACATTTTAAAAATCTAAGTGATCTCTTACCAGTATTCAACATGCACTGTTACTCCCATGCTTTCTGTTAAAATCTCTTTTTCCTCTTGCCGTTATAAATTGTGTGGTATTGATTTAGAAACAACCAGAAAAAACTTGGGTAGCTGTGGAAAAGTGCAGTCACAGGCTGAAAAACAAGTGCCGCTCCTCTCCCAGGTCACATGGCTGATCATCGGTAGCTAGGGAACCAGCCCTCTGGGTGGACTCACCTTTTATGTACTTTCGTGACAGTGCAGTTAGATTGTTTAGCTCTGACATACGTCAGCACCTAAATACCGCAAGGGAACAGTCCTTAATACCTTCTGTTGCATTTGACTGATTGTTTTATTTTAAATTAACAAATTAATAACATTAAAAGGTTCTGGATGAAAGGGATATTGATGGCTGAGGAAGTGAGATTGCATTTTATTTTACAGGAAGTTGAGTCAACAGCAAAGAAAATGCTTAGTCATTTTATGATCACATATTATGCACACGAGTCCATCAGAATGCTTTTTAAAAAAATAAACAATGAAAAAATATTGGAAAATCTAGCTGAATGTGTCAGCTAAAGAATATCTTCTGGGGAAAATATTTCTTTAATTGTGTAAAGTCAACAACAAATGCTCCTTCAGTATGACGATCAATTCAGAGTTCCATATTTTCATTATAAAGGAAAAGGGAAAATTTTAATACATATCTTTTAACAATAGTTTAAGAACATACGAAAATCAGTTAATTGCCATTTGTTTTCAGATGGTTCAGAACAATTCTCCTGAATTGGAATAGATTTTAATCTTTTATTTTCAAAAATGTAGAAACTTGTTGAAAATATGGACTTTCAGTATTGTACCTATTTCTCCTATCTGATATTTTAAAGTATGCAGTGGATAGTTTAAACCAGAGGTCTGAAACCTGAGGTAAAGGCACCAACTATGGTGAATTATGAATCTGTTTTTGGGGATAGGGAAAGGATGTTGAATATACTTTGCTGATTCTTATGCTCAGTCATGGAGAAAAAGAGCAATCTTTACACACTTAAATTTAAACCTGGTCAGTTATGATGTTGATCCCTGCCCCCTCTAAATTTAGCTGAAACCAAACCAATTAGCATGGAATATCATGCATGTTCCAACAGAGAGAATTATGTTAGATAATTTGAGGTTAGTGGGACAATGCATTTGGCACTTAAGAGTATTGAAAATTAAGGGCTATTCACTTTTGAAAAAGTCCTGCTCTTTTTTCACCACATCTCAAACAGCTTGGGAAACTGTTTGCTTTTAATATTGTTGTTGTTGATCTCAAGGAGAATTAGCGCCTTAAGGACTATTTTTGAGATTGTGATTTTCTTTTCTTAATTCTGGAATCAGAGCCGTCCTGTCCATAGGAAGGACCAGGACAACCATGCTTTGGGGGGGCTCCACACTTCGGGGTCCAAAGGGCCTGGGGGGTTAGTGGGTAACCTGGTGCCGGCAGCAGGGGTGGGACAGGAGTGGAATGGGGGTGGAGACTGGGCTGGAGGATGGGGGGGTTGTCCCTGGCCCAGAGATGGCCCTGTCCAGAATTATTTTATATTTTATCTGGCACTAGGAAACCTGTAAATCTTATGAAACAAATGTGTTCTCGAGATGGCAATGTACATGGGGTTAGACTCACCCACAGCTCAATACTCAAACTCCTGCAGGGAATTCCAAGTCCTGCACATAACTTGCAAGCTTTGCAGGAGTACTGGTCCTAACGCATTCTCTGCTCCATAGTGGAGTGGCTCTCTACTGTCACACATCAAGATTTCAAAAGTTCAAAAATGGGTTTCAAAAAATAAATTCACAGGCAAAACACTAGTTGAGTTGGTATGAATAAAAACTCCATATTGTCAAATGTTTGTGTCTAACTCTCCTAGCCTGCAAATTTTGTGTGTGTATATATGGACACACATACCCACACTCACCCAGAGTTCTATTACATTTTTTTCCTGTAGTAACCGAAATATTTTTATAATCTTGCTTCTATTATATGTCCTTCCAGGTCCTTGATCATATCCCTGAAAAACTGCCTGTGGTAGACACTCCCTTTGAACACATCCTTATCTGGTTCATTAAATGTTAGTTTTGCTTGGCTAAAATATAATGATACAGGAATTAAAGTTGAAAGACCAGATTTACATATTAAAACTTGTCTTCCAGTTTACTTAACAGCAATAAAGACAGAACTGCAACCATACCTACTGCTCAGGCTACCCCATAATTTTATATACATATAACTCTAATTAAGCAATGTGTTTCTAATGCTAAATAAACATTTTAATTAGCTTAAAATTTTTATACTCATGTTTATTCATTATTCAAGTTATTACATAGTTGTCCAATAGGGGAGTTTTTACATTTTCCTCAAGCTTCTGGCATTAGCCACCTTTGAACAAGGATACCTGACTAGATTGATCACTCGCCTGATCTAATATGGCAATTTCTATGCTCCTGCATAAACTCATATTCGCCCCAAGAAACCTTAAGACATCCCTTTCAGATAAGGACAGCAGAAGTCTGTAAACAAGAATAAATTTATTTTAGATTTAAAGATTTAATGATATACAAAATGTATATAGTATTATATCTTTAATACACTTTACCTTTCCCCCATCAACATAAAACACGATTTAAACAGCTATTGTGTTCGTGCCTTAGGTTTGTATCTATAAGATACACTACGGAATAAAAAAAATTTATAGAGCTTTATATTGCCCTTCAATTAAAAATTACAAATTAGTACCTATGTAACAAACAAAATAAAAATCGCAGCATGAAACTTCAGTTGGACAACAGGTTTTTCTTGTTGAATACTCAACAAGATTTGGGACAGTTAAATTACATTTTATTGGCATAAAGTTGCATTGCAATCTCCCGTACTTTACATAATGCTAATCCAACCCTAGTCTTTTTTTAAATAAGTACCACAAACAACATAACATTAAAGATGTTTCTATACAATTTTAAATACATTTAAAAGTTCATGTGTACATTCTGATTTGATATACTGGTTTTATGAGATTTTTGGAAGGCATAACTTCAGAAGCAGTCATTACAAGAAAAAGCACTTCCCCGACTTGTTTCTTTTTTTCTTTTTCTTTTTTTAAACAAGACAACTTCTTGTTTGGACGAGTATGTACTCTTTTCTACTATATGATGTAATTATACCAGTCTATCCTGGCTTTATTTGTTACAGTGACTTGATAAAACTGAAATGTATAAAAACAAGAAATTTCATTACACAATTAAGGCTCTATTCCATACAAACTGGCTTCACACCTATGAAGCTGAATCCTGATTCAGGAGACAAACTCTTTATTGGAATAGATCCATTTCTGACTTCAACCTCAGCATACTGGCACGATATACACAGATCCTTTGGATCCGTTCCCTTCCAAAGGCCAGATGAAAATACATGGCATCTAATGAGATGGGTCACTTCTGATAATGCCCAGGGAAACCTGACAATGAAGGAGGATGCAGTCTCCCTTTTCTCTAGCTGGCTGACAGTAAACCAGCTGCCAAACAGACACTTTGCCTTAAAACATCCAAAAAAAAGTCCTTTTAGTCAAGAGCCTATTGCACCACAGGATTAGACGAACCTCCATTGGACAAAAGCAAAACTAAAAATACCTTCTCCTAAAAAGATCCTTTAAAAACATTTCATAAATACTTGTCATTCAACCCTTAAAATAATCAGCTGCCAGCTCATCTCTGTAAATGGTTACCACAAGTTGTTAGGTCCTTAGATTATGGACCAGACATCAAAATTCCACTTATAATGCTTGGTTCTTTGTTTTGATCTCTCTTTCATCTGATTTTATGGAAGACAGATAATCTACAACTTAGTGACACTGTGTAAAGCCAGTGTTTGCTCATGTCATTACAGCATCAGGTGAATAGAACTAGTTGATTCTGATTCTTTGGTGCAGCTTCCAGGCTGAATTGTCAATTCGGGAGAATCATCCTGAGGAAATATAATTTTGTCAGGCGTATAGTCATTTCTCTTCAGATCTACATTGACAAAAGAAAAGACAAAACAACAACAAAATGAATGTTAATATTTCTTGGTTTGGTAAAATCAAAGGGCCATTAAAATCTTTAAAACACATTTAAAGATCTATGTATGCTTATATAACAAACATCTCCTGCCATGCCCCCAGTGTAAAAAAGAGAGTTTAAAATGGTTTGTTAACTGTTTAGGCTACATTAAGGAAACTCAGTTTTAAAGTCATTTTCAGAACCTTTCACTTTCGTTCTCTTCTGAACCCACTGCATTATAACAGAGCACTAGCTATCATTAAGGTTAAGAGCAACTTTTCTGTTTCTAGCTTGACTCTTCCAAGTGCTCTAAAATCCGCATGGTTGCTTGGATTTTCCTGACATTTGGAATGCCTCATGCTGTGGTGGGATGCTGTTAGTGACCCAAATTTGGGACCATCTGATGCCATCCCTAGAGAAGAAAACTGCTTATTAAAATTGACATGTTTTGGCAACAAATTTTTGCACACAGATAGAGATCAACCAGGGCTGAAATCATCACACCAGAGTCTCAAACACCTTCAACAGAAATCTGGAAAAGGTTGGAGGGAATATTGCTAAAATCTTCCTGTCAAGGTTTTATTATTCTTTTGGGGAAATGAAATCAAAGTATTTTTGTACACAAAATAATGCTTGCTAGCATGGAAGAGGCACATTAGGGGGTAGAGGAGTTGGAGGAAATAGAGGTTAGAGGGGCTTGGGGCTGCATTGAGGGGAAGGGGGTTTATGGGAAAGGTGATTACAGGAAATGGGTGGTAGGAAAGGTGAAAGGGTTTTGGGGCTCACAGGGGCAAAGACACTAGGAAAGGAACATGGGGGTAAGTGATAGGGGGAGAATAGGGGCAGTGACACGTCAGAACCACATTCTTCCCTTCTGTGATTGTGCCAAGATCTGTCCCCCCCATCCCACTATGTGCAATCTGAACCCCTCTTCATGCCCTCCATCATGGGAGCTGGAATATGGGAGGCCATGCCTCTTGGGTGGGTATCTGAGCCCTACTCCTCCCCTCTGAGTGAGAGCCAGGTTCTGGGGTTTGTTTTTCTGGGTGAGTGTCTGAGCCCCTCTCCCTGTCCCCCTCATGTGAACTAAGATCTAGGGGTATGAGCCTATTGCCCTGCCTGACCCCTCCCCCCATGTAAGCCACAGGAAGCTCTGCCCCACTGGTGGAAAGCTTTGAACAATCATGCTCAGCCCATTAACCTGGAACACACTGCTGAGACTAAGGTGAGGAATTGAGAATGGGTATGTAAGATACATATCACAAACTCTTCAGAACTGGGGAGGATTAGACAAATTGGAGGATTGGGCCAAAAGAAATCTGATGAGGTTCAATAAGGATAAGTGCAGGGTCCTGCACTTAGGACGGAAGAACCCAATGCACAGCTACAGACTAGGGACCGAATGGCTAGGCAGCAGTTCTGCGGAAAAGGACCTAGGGGTGACAGTGGACGAGAAGCTGGATATGAGTCAGCAGTGTGCCCTTGTTGCCAAGAAGGCCAATGGCATTTTGGGATGTATAAGTAGGGGCATAGCGAGCAGATCGAGGGACGTGATCGTTCCCCTCTATTCCACATTGGTGAGGCCTCATCTGGAGTACTGTGTCCAGTTTTGGGCCCCACACTTCAAGAAGGATGTGGATAAATTGGAGAGAGTCCAGCGAAGGGCAACAAAAATGATTAGGGGTCTGGAACACATGAGTTATGAGGAGAGGCTGAGGGAGCTGGGATTGTTTAGCCTGCAGAAGAGAAGAATGAGGGGGGATTTGATAGCTGCTTTCAACTACCTGAAAGGGGGTTCCAAAGAGGATGGCTCTAGACTGTTCTCAATGGTATCAGATGACAGAACGAGGAGTAATGGTCTCAAGCTGCAGTGGGGGAGGTTTAGATTGGATATTAGGAAAAACTTTTTCACTAGTTGGGTGGTGAAACACTGGAATGCGTTACCTAGGGAGGTGGTAGAATCTCCTTCCTTAGAGGTTTTTAAGGTCAGGCTTGACAAAGCCCTGGCTGGGATGATTTAACTGGGAATTGGTCCTGCTTCGAGCAGGGGGTTGGACTAGATGACCTTCTGGGGTCCCTTCCAACCCTTATATTCTATGATTCTATGAGGAGGAATGGGAACATTCACTGACATGGATGGATTAGCTCATCTGTCTCAGAGCTATTGTTTTAGGTTATATGCACCTCCAAAGAGTGTTCTCATTCATCTGAGACCATCACATGGATATGATTGGGCCATTTCAGACCTCTCTGAGCCTTCTATGCCTTCACGATTATCCTGTGCTGGATATCTGCATATTGCAAAGCCGCTGCTGATGATTTATTTTATACAATATTACAGTGGAGCACTAGTTCTGCTACTGTTAAGATTGAGAAGATTTTTCTGTTTAAATTTTTTTTTCTAAGTGTTCCAAAATCCACATGCACATCCTGATGGTCTTGAAATTTGCTGTGCCTTATAGTGATCCAAATTTGGGGACATTTGCACAAGATGTTCCTGAGATCCCGCCTCCCCTGATCCCCCCCTGCCCCCCCCCCAGCTTTTCTTACAATTCACAGATTCTACCAACTTTTTTTGTGCACACTTGGCACAAAAAAATGTTAATGGTTTAATGGGACAGGAAGGGGAGAGTGAGCTGGAAATGGTGGGTGGGTGGGTGGGTGGGGAGACACCAGTTTTCTCTCACATGCTTAAAGTTACTGTAATCACCAAGTCACAAAACAATCAAATTCTGAAGACATAGACCACGTCTGAGATTTCTCTCACTGGCTCTGTAAACAACTACACGCTCCAAACTTTTCAAAGTAAGAGTATAATTCCCATTCCACTTAAACGACAAAGTGTACCTGTGGGGTGAAGTGTGTGTGTGTGTGTGTCTGAGGAGTGGGGGAACACTTAGGAAACCCATAGCAACCATGTGACCTAGTCGAGAAAGGCAGTGAACTGGGAGCTCTATTGCTGGCTTTGCCACTGGCCAAGTGGTGACTGGCCAAGGCATATCAGTGCTTTGTACCTCAGCTTCCGCATCTCTATAAGGGGAATAATGATGTGTCCCTCCTTGAGATCTACCAAAGACTTATGTAAGAGCTAGGTATTATTACCTGTTCACAGGAGTAATTGAAAATTACTAAATGACCATTAACTCCTACCATCAACATTTATCTTTCTGTTAAAAAAACTAGGAAATTAAATGGCAAAAAAACCTTTGTTAATGCAGCATTACAGTTGTCTGGCAATAGCTTGTGCCCTTCCAGAAGCTCAAGTTCAGCAAAACTCAAGTTGTGAAAACCAGGAAATACAGTTAAGATACACAACCATGTAACCTTAATTCTGTCTTCTTTGAGCAATGGCCAATACATTCACAGCACAAATACTCATATTCTGCCTTTGTCCTGTACTGATACACTCATACACTTAGCCTGCGCCACAGTAAAAACATCACCTTACTTATTTTTACAACTCCTTCAGCCTTTTACTACCTCTTCACCCTTATGCACATGATGCCATCTAACACTTTCACTTATCCTTCATAAAACCCTCAGACCACGCTCATCTCCCACCTAAGGCCTCACAATCCCCACAACAAGACCACCCCTGTGCCCTACTAGTGATACAACCTATGCAACACAGTGCTGAAATGAGGCATACTGGATCTCTCAAGGTACACATGCACCTTTTTCCTTTGATCTCATACACAGGACTCAGGGAGAGGGGCTCACATACACCACAGTTCATCTCAGATGACAATCACAGCTCTTCCACCATTCCAGCTACATTTAACACAGTGAAAGCAGATAGAGTTCATGTAGCTAATTCCCAGTGACTATTGCCAGCTCCAGGGAGAAAGAGTTAAGGTTGCTTGGGTGTGTACCTTAACTCTGTATTTCCTGGTTTTCACAAGTTTTAGATTTGCTGAATTCCATTTTCTAAAAGGGCGCACGAGCTATCGCCAGATAACCTTAACTCTGCAGTAACAAAGTTTTGTGCCACTTAATTAAAAATATTAACACAGCCATTCTACTATGGAAATTGACTCCTTTTGTTGCCAATTATAGTGTATGATATTAAAAGTTTCAGGACAAGCTTAGAAGGCAGAACTGAGATTTATCGGTTACTGAAGTTTTCTAATTACCTGTAAAAGATATACAATTCAGACAGCAGTAGTGCAATCTTCCTTTCATTGCTTTACCAACCCTGACATGGAAGGACCATGTCTACAACTGAGGACAGTTTAGATTCTATATCCATTCAATCCAAGACCTGTCTATTGTGATAGTTCACAAAAGGAGTAAATTAGTTCCAATTATGTGGCTTTTTTTGTGATATGGTCATCACTTCAGTACAAACTAGATAAGGAACACCAACTCATTTTACATAAATCATCAGACTGCTATTAAGCAGTGGTAGCTTTCAGTCACTACAAACTTAGACTGGATTTGAACTGGCAAATGAGACATGAAAGACTCCATATTACTACTCCAAACTGAATCTTTGTAGAAATAGAATACTTATGAACTAAAATAACTCCACCACCTGGTTTAACATGCCATAAGTTTTTGTGCTGATCTTATGCTACTTTTCCTGCCTTTATACCTCCCCACCACCTTTCCCAATAATTTGTTTTGTATTAGCTGGTGTACGCTACAGGTTACTTCGCTATAATTTATGTTGCTCTGGGATGTGAATAATCCACACCCTTGAGCGATGTAAGCTATACCAATTTAAGCGCTGGTGTAGACAGTGCTATGTCAGCAGGAGAGCTTCTTGCTGACACAGCTACTGCCTTTTGCGGAGGCAGGGGTTAAGAGCTCTCTCCCATCGGCTTAGAGCGTCTCCATCAAAAGCTCTACAGTGGCGCAGCTGCATCGGTGCAACTGTGCCACTGTAAGTGCTGTACTGAAGATGCAGCCTATGTTTATTTCCTTTTGTGTGAAATTGTTCTGCCTCAATTCTCCAGTTTAGTTCTCTAGTT